TGGTATGAACTAATAATAACAAAAGTATGATGATGACGTTCAATCTTGAACTACATGGCTTATTGTAGTTATTGCACTCATATAGTAGTTATAGTTTGTTTTTTTGAAAGGTTGAGCAGCTGTACCTTCCCCATAGGCTTCAATTCTGATTCTAATAAGTGTTCTGATTCTGGAAACACCAAAGAGTTTCAGGTTATTATAAATATCAGCAATCAGCAATTGGTTCTGTAACTTACCCCACCTACATTTCCTCTAGATTACTTGTGTATTACCGGTATAACATTTTAAAACATAAACCGATCTGTTTCCAAACATGAAGGTGTCTCTTTCATGCAGAGTGTTTTTGTTTCCTAGATTGTATTGGATGCTGTATTATTTGGTGTTATACCAATAGTGTATGAATTTGAAGGCACTACCCTGGAATCTTTATTAGAGAGATTGGAAAGTGTACTGGCTGGTAGACATGCACGGTGAGTACTGTAAAATCTGTATTAGAACCTGTGGCTTCTATTAAAATTGTACAATGCTACAGAGAGGATGTGGCTTTTATTAGAGCATCAACACATATGAGAAATGGTGTTTGGTTCTTAATTGTTCAAAATAAATGAATGCAACTTATATTAGGGATGCAGCTTCTAATACAGATTTTACGGTAATATAAATAAAAAATATAGAAAAAGAAAATATTGAAATACCTAATCATAAATCATCATGTTGGTCTTAGCTTGACAGCACCTCTGTTTCATGTACAGACTTTGTTTAATGGGTGATAGATGTTCACAGAAAATGCATTCAACTTATTGGAGAGGCCTGTGTACTGCAACTCTTGTGATTGTCAAAATCAACTGTTGAGAATTAACCACATAATATTTGTTTTCTATAATTTTGAGAATGTATGCCCATATTAACAATATTAACAAAAATACATAAAAAAATGTGCAATCACAATTTTGGCAGGAAAATTGAGAACAACAAATTATTTGTGACTTTGCCATTCAAAGGATTAATGAAATATGCAATAATAGATCATAAATATTAACTTCACATTGTATTGTATTTTTTTTTTCATAGGAGTATTGGTTTATTTGTTGATGGATCTCCTGGGGAAGTTAAATTAGTCCAGTATTTTAAGACTAATCTCAAAACATTGGAAAATGATGAGATACGAAAGTTTTGGGAAACACTGTGTTGTCATGTATTACCAGCTGGCGTAGGTGGACATGTGGATATATTTCTACCTCTTGCGGCTAGTGGTATGTATACTATTAAATCTATGCCTTTATAGCAATTTTCACCTTATATGGCTTGACAATTAAAAAAAAAAAATTGGCTTATATTTCAAATAAAGACCACCTGCATATAGTGACTACTTTTAGGCAGTCTCAAGGCATAACATATATGAACAACCTATGTACATATCTTTTGTGACCAGTCTATGAGCAATATTTTTGCAGATTCTTCTTTATTTAGAGAAATTAATCTTTCATTCATAAAAACAACTTTTTATTTTAATTTTATATTTTTAGTCAAACCTATTTAATTTTAATATTGATCAATTCAACTAAAAGTTGCTGTAACAGTACCATCTCATTATTTTCAGAACAAATGTGTCATATGTATGAGATAAAAAAATAATCAAACCTCTATATAAAAGACCACTTGTCTATACACACTTTTAAGGGTGGTTGCTAAACGTATGTGGTTTGACTGTACTTATTACACATTACATACTCATGTACATGTCTAGTTTTTCCTGCAATCCAACACATAGAACTGTATAAAACTAAAACATGCACTTACAGATTTTCTAAACAAATTCTTTATGCAGTACTAGTACCGAATTCTGCCGTAAATTCGCCCATCCGAAAAATCGCCAATTTCAAGGCTGGTGGGCATTTATTTCTGGTTCAAAACATTGAAAAATTACCATAGCTCATTTAAATATGTTAATGTTATTGAACGCAATGCGGAAGATATTTCCGATGTTGTAGTACGATCTTTTGGCTTGGATTTTGATGGTAAAATGGCATGATTTTTTTTTTAACAGCTCATTGTCGAAGCAAAGCTCACCCATTCAGGCTAGTCACAATAAATATACTCTTGAATAAAAACTTAGTGGACTATTTTAGGCGTCAGGAACAATTAAAATGTCCGAAAAAATTACGTCAAAATATTTAAAAAAACAACTTCTATAACTGCCAAAAAATCGGCAAATTTACGGCAGAATCCGGTATACTGGAAGTGGTAGTTGGTAATCAGAGTCCTTTATGCAATTTACATATCTAACAACATTTTCAATGCTAACTGATATTATTGGTATTATTTCAGAGAGTGGAATGGAATTATTATTGCAGCTAGGAATATTAACAGGACTACAGTTTTCATCACCTACAGCTATAGTAGGATCTACTTATGCACACTGTAAGTTGAACACAGTTTATGTACTTATCTGTTGAGTCTGTCTAAAGACTGTACATACCTATATATCTGCAAATATCCCACTTAAAGGCTTCATTTGTCAAAGATTCAGGAATTGCTTTTTATTTTTTTAGGCGCAAATAAACATTTTGCTTCTGTCATTATGCTCATCATTTTGAAACATGTTTGTTGCCGTTTCCTGTACCATTGTAGTGCGCCACATGTAGAATGGGAAAATGTTTGTTTTCTGCTTCAGAGGATGTTTTCCATATAATGACGTTTATAATGCATGTCATTCACATGCCGTTGTATTGATAAGAGTGATATTGATTTAGTTCCATGTTTTTAGACTTTTTGTTACAAAACATGATAGACTGTCTGTATTCTTCTGCATCTAAGCTTTCAGAATATATATAAATTGTCATAGATACTTTCCAAGTATTTCTTTAAATGTGGTTGATGTACATTAGTTCATTATTCTAACCAGCTCAAAGTTTCATGACATTCTTATGAAAAATGGGTCTTCTTTTGTTACCATGTGCGTAATTGTTTGTAGTGGACAGTGAATGGTTGTTTTCACCCGATGGTATCACTCCACCAGCTCTGTACTTCAATGCTGACCAGTTAAAGGCTTGGATTAACACCGCAAATCTGGTCCAAGAAGCAATCAATGTGACAAAAAGAAGAGTTAAGTCTTATTTTGAGAAAGAACAGAAAGACTTGGCTGCTAAGGTTACGGGTAAGAATCAATTTCATCACATGTTAAAGTTGGTATTTGGAAACTCTTTCAATTTTGAGTGTAAACTTAGCCAAAAATACAATCTGAAAGTTAAAAACCTATAGTATTGTGCCATTTATCCACTAATGTTATTTATCATTTTCACTTCAATAAATCTCATCATACATTGCTGTTTTGAGTTCTGCTTCACACTAAACCCAGAAAAAGTATTTGATGTTTCTAGTCATCACATGCATCATTAAAGTTGTTTTGTTTTGTTTTATCTCAATTTTCCAAAAAAATAATAAAATCACAATTTTTAGTTAAAAAACAAATTAACCAGAAACTTTGTACCAGATTCGGCGGATACCCTGCCCTGGACGATCTTATGGAGGATTTGATTTTTTTTTAGAAAAATGTGGAGCAAAAGATCGCCCGGGCGATGTTATAGTAGATATTACGAAGCCCATCTTGTCCGGAAAAATAACCCTGCACTGATAAAAATGGTCTCAGAAAATGTTTAGAAAAATGATGTTTCGCATTGACCAAATATAATCATGCAAAGTATAAATTCAAAGTGTTTTAATACATTGGTGAGAGATTGCATTACGTGAACAAGAAGGAAAAGCAAGCCAAAGTCGAAACAGGGTGCAACCTTTTTCTTTTGTGCTCCGCGCATCGGTCGAGTAAAATTGTTATTATATCTGACGATACTGTAATCACATAACATGTCTGCAACTCTGGCTTTCAATATATCAACATCGTTTACTTGGTGCGCTGCTTTTTAAATGACGCAAATTTGTTTACAATATTGTACCGGCTCTGAATATTTCAACTTTGTAATGCTTTCATAATAATTACGCAAACTCAAGTAATTCATATTACAGACTTTATAATGCGTTGCACTCGTAATAATTACGCAAACATAAACATGGGCGCATTTAAATCATAGTAGTCAGGTGTCTTGTGATTCATCGATGTTCCCAATGGTGAAATATTTTATTCGAAATGAAGTGAATATGTAATATAATAAACTCTGGGCAGCGCACTTCGATCGCATTATTCACGTACATTTCGACTGAACTCTACTAACCACGAACGCGAGGAGTTTGCTGAAAGGGAACGCCTTTTTTGGACATAAAAATACACGTCAAATACAAGATTATGTGTGCAAAGTTAGATTTCTAGAACGTACACGACCGCTTAACTCTGTGTTTTTCAATAATCATGTCGCATGTGAAACGTAGGAGACATTTTAGTTCGCCAATTTCCTGTTTACCGATCTTGAACTTTTTGTCAGGAATGCGATACAGACAAAGATTAAACATTAACGATACCTACCGTTGTCAAATCAACCAAGAGGCTCGAATCAGGAAGGCTTGGGTATTTCAAATTTTATGAGTGTAATAAACGTAAGTGAAATGTATTCACGAACCATAATACTCGTACTTTCTAAAGTTACGACTTTTACTCTTGAAATTGGTGATAAATACTTGCATAAAATAAAAACATATACCATTTTTCATGCAACAACAATTTGTATACAGCATTGGATTTATTAGATTTTTACGTTTTTCGACTTCACAGTGAATTATTTTAGCGTCATATTTGAAATAGCGCGCTCGATGCAAGATGTCGGACGGGAAAATTGGGGTCTCTAAACATGTTTGTTGGTTCAGTTAGGCAATGTGTGGACCAAAACATCGCCCACTATTTGAAACATCGCCCATGGGCGGGGTTTAGGATGGGCGGGGTATCAGCCGAATCCAGTATATATAAGAGACAAATGAGTGAAAAACTTGAACATTTTTAGCCGTGAAAATTTCTCTGGAATCATATGACACAAGGTGTTAGCTACTTCTGTGGCAAATGCCAAAAAAATCCCCAAATAGCAAAAATTGTTAGCAGCAATATTTTTGAAATATACAGAGCCTGTGTATGTTGGCAATAGTGTCAAAATGACTTTTTTCTACCTTGCCAACCCTATTGTGAACTTTCTTTTAGTCACAATTGCTTATTATATAGTGGTTACCAGCATCTGTATATACATCTGTATTATTTCACGAGTCTTATCAGCCTTTGCAGACAGTTTTGAAGACATTGCATACAAGATCTGATCTGATCTGATTCGACCCGACCTGTGCTTGTAAAAAAAGATGCCAAAGATTCTGCCATCTCTGATGACTTTCTTGTTTTGTTCAAACTTCTTTTTTAAAATTTCTTACTGCAGGTGAGATTGTGTTTGATGCATTGAGTTTACGGAATATCAAAAAAACTAAAGAAATAACACCGATTCTGACACAAGCTATTGAAGCTATGGCTGAAGAGGAAAATGTAAGACATTCTTGTACTTTTATACATATACTGTGGAATACTTTATTTTCGCTGGAATTTATTTTCGCTGAAAAGGCTTTTTGGGCGTTTTGCTTGGAATTTATTTTCACTGATGTTTGATGAGATTAATGTAAAATATTGGAAAAAATGTATATTCACCGGATTTTATTTTCACGGAATCATCCCTTCAGCGAAAATAGCGAAAATAAATTCCAAGCGAAAATAAAGTATTCTACAGTACCTTTCAACCTTTTAAGTCTCTTAATTTTTTTACCAAACATTTGGTGCAACATTTTATAAAATTTTATCAATTTCTCTATAATTTATTTGATATTTGATAAGGTTAAACCGATTGATTTCATCGCCAATTACCTAAAAGAAGTTTCTGATGGTGGAAAACCAAAAAGTACGCTAGGAAATACTAAAGAAGATCCGTTGTATACTCCAAGACCTGAGAAGAAACGGACAATCCAAACCAATAAGAAGAAGAAACCTGTGATGATGAATGGTATTCAAGTGAGTTAGGTGGTCTTTCTTTACTTGAGTTAGGCAGGCTTTGTTTAGTTAAGTTGAATGTTTTTATGTATTTATTTTTAGTATGCTTAAGGTTCCAGTGTTTATTTTATGTAAGTTGAGGATGTCAGTGTTTCTTTTAAGTGAGTTAGGGTTTCTGTGTTTGTAAATTCCTAATTTTCGAGTTGTTAGCTTTCTACGGAATTCCGCTAGAGAGCGCATCCAAAATACCCGGATGACGAGCCTGAGTGGGGTTGTTTTTATTGAAGTTCTGTATTCTTACATGCATAAATCAATAGATTGGATAAGCAAAAAAAATCCAGAACTCCGCGAATTTCTTCAGGATCGTAGTATAACTTGCAGCTAAACTTTTTGAACTTTGAGTTAGGAAACGTGTTAAATGTTCGCCAAGAGTCAAACAATCGTCGTACTGTAAAACACGGTGAGTCGACGATAACTCTGGTAGATCTGTGTAACGTAAAATCTTGGCAAAAAAACCTTCATACTTTGCCTTTGTTTGAAATAGCTGATATGTTCGCATATTTGTTGCATCGAAGTGACTGGACAACAGCCAGACTGAAAGAATATCGACTTGATAATGGTTAATTACTTCATAATTTTCGTAAAGCTTCATCATGTGCAGAATACAGAATTTATTTTCATTATGTGTATTCGGCAATGATCCATGAAGGAAAATCCTTACAAGCCATGGTTTATTATTAAATCAAACTCTAAAATAGTTTCTGGTGTAACTGTGTAGAGTAAGTTTGATTTAATATTTTATTCACCAGG